AAAAAAAAAAAAAAACAACAACAACTAAGTGGGGGTTTACGAGACTGGAGGATTTGTTGCTTCCGTTGGAGAGTCTTGATCGGACGCCATACTGAAACCCTAATTGATCAATCGAAGTCCTAAATCCAAACCTTCACCCCTAATTAAACAGTAGCTCATATTACCAAACACTGTACAACACATGAAGATCAAGATATTTCTGACGAAGGTAGTGACAAGGGCAATAATTTGAAAAACTATTACATAGTCTCATTATCATTCCGAAGCAAATGCATATGAACAGTACATTGAAATATATACACAAACAAGATTAAGGACAACACAATTATTTTTTTTTTCTTCGATTTGAGAGCAAAACAAAAGCAGGTTTTAACTCATATTGACAAACCACTGAATCAGACATAACTACTATTCAACAATATGATGCAACGCAATATTTTTGTCGTCCGGTTACTCTATTAACGATGTAATACACACAGAATTCTAGGGTAAATGACATTCTTGTCTGAAATCAAACATTTACAGCAATCTCACAAGCTCGTGCGTAGAAAGATTAAATCTTTCTTCAATCGATTGGATATTTCAATGACAACAAAAGCTTACACGTTAGCTCATGAACAAAAAAATCAAAAACTTGACCAGATGAACAGTAGCTCATGAATATGGAGATCCACTGACCAAAATAAAGCAAAACTTCTGAAATAAATCAGCTCAAATTACTATAAATTAAAAACCAAAATCAATAATACGAATACAAATTAAGCTTTTTCTAACTCCGCATTCACAAATTGCATCTCAAATCATACAAATTAAGCTTTTTCTAACTCCGCATTCACAAATTGCATCTCAAATCATACAAATTAAGCTTTTTCTAACTCCGCATTCACAAATTGCATCTCAAACCATACAAATTAAAACTTCGAAAAAAATGGCTTACATCTCAAATCATCTCTGCAATAGGATTTTGAAAGAGTGGGACGAAGCTGCGCCCCTTGCTTGGGGGATGCCTATCAGATAGAGGAGATAACTAGTACAACATCCCGTGTATTACACGAGTGCTTGTTAACATCCCCGTGTATTACACGAGTGCTTGTTAATTTTTTTCTTAAAATTTAAAATTAATGAGAATAAGTAGTTTGAAAATTTAAATACCTTTTATAAGAATATATAGGATTCCGAAGCACCAGAAGCAGTCACGTAAGCTCAGCGCATTCTGAAATTATATATAGGGAGGATATAATACACACAGATAATTTTGTCGGGTTAACATCGGCCCAGTATATATATTATGGGCCTACAGATTGTTGGCTGGCCCGTTATAAATTTAAAGATGTAATGGTCTGGTCGCTTGTAGGTAAAGCCTTCTTGGATTTGGACTTCAGAATGGCAAGTTGTGTGATTAGTGAATTAAGTGCCCATACATGCTTTTAATTTTATAATACATTCTAGTTAACGAAATAACTACTTAATAATTCATTTTTTTTAAAAAAAAAACATATATATATATATATATTATTTCTAGCCAATACATGTTTGGTTAGCTTTGGTTCCAATGCATCCACATTCTTAAAGTGAGGAAGTGAGCCTCATTTCTAGCCACAAGATTTGGTACATAATGTGGCCAAGATTTAATCTTTTCTTTTTATTATTTTAATTATTTAAATATTATTTCGACCTGTTGATTCCGGCATTGACAGTTGACTTCCTTTGACTCCAGCGTTGACTTCTGGCGAAAATCCGTTGACTTCCTACGTTGACTGTTGACTTTCGGCGTTGACCGTTAACAACTAAACTTGCAATTAAATATAAATAACCTAGCATGCTAGGTTAATTGTCTGATGGTGCTAGGTTAGTTGTATGATTGTGGTAGGTTAGTTGTATGATTGTGCTAGGTTAGTTGTTTGATTGTGCTAGGTTAGTAGTTGCTAGGTTAATTGTCTGATGGTGCTAGGTCAGTTGTATGATTGGCCGCCAGAATTTTCAAAAAAATGCCTTTTTCTTGCTTTAATTTTATTTTTAAGAAAAAAAAAATATTTTTTGTATTTTTAAATCTCTATATCTCCCCAATCGAGACTCATTTTTCGAAGTTTTTTTTTCGTAACAATGCTCTCAACCTCTATTTTATGTACCAATTGAAAAAAATTAAAAAATGCATAGTCTCTACAGTTGCTAGGTTAGTTGTCTAATGCTGCTAGGTTAGTTGTCTGATTGTGCTAGGTTAGTTGTTTGATTGTGCTAGGTTAGTTGTCCGCATTATAAGAGATGGCCTCATTTTAAGAACTGACCTCATTTAATCTGCCCATATATATATATGCACAATATATATATATATGTATATATATATATATATACCTACATTATCTTAATTTAAAATTTTACGTTTAGCTATGACTTTCTACATTTTAAATCAAATCATCTTCAATAACTTTTCTACCACCAAGTTTTCTCTTTTAAAAATGTTTAACTATACTTTCATAAATTATTGTATGATAAAGGGGCCTAATTGTTGGACCGGTTGATTTATTACACGTTTTTTTAAACATAAACATATTTTAATATACTTTTTAACAAAAATATATGTTTGTTATATGAAATCTCATGGTATTTTATATCTTTTTAGTATAACATTTCAACTCATAAATATGTATATATCAATTAGAGTTTGTTAAACATTATAGGTCTCTCGACAGCTCGTTCTATTCAAAGCCTAGTTAACAAGCTTGAGCCGGTTCGATAAAACTAGAATTCAAATCTTTAATGTTAATAAACGAGTCAAACTCGACCTCATCTTAGATAAAAGGCTCGAGCTGGAATATCGTGAGCTTAAGTCGGCTCATTTGACATTTATACCCCTAATATCTATAAAAAGGAAAAAAAAAAAGTTGTCTAAAATTTGACATTAATATCTATTTGTTATAAAACTAGAGAGAAAGAAAGAGAATAGAGAAAATGTTTCTCTTAGGTACAATTTTCATTATAACTGAAGTTCCTATTTATAGGAAACTTCCGATGGCACAACTTGTAATTATACAAATACGTCGAGGGCAAAATAGTCATTCACATACATTATATTACAATAAATAATTCACAACACTCCCCATTGAATGACTATTTTTAAACATATTTTAACTGATTTGTACAAAGCCCAATCTGAATAGCTTGAAGTGTATCTTTCAGCCATCGGTACTGTTACTTCAGTATATCAGGAAAACCCGGTGGGACAAAACCTGATCATCTTGAAATCACAACATTGCTTCCTCAGGCAAACCCGGTGGGACAAAACCTGAGCATTGTGGTAGCACATCATTGCTCCCTCTCAAATAAATCAACTTTAATGGAGTATCTATGTGCTGCCTCGTTAAAACCTTGTCAAGAAAACCCAGTGGGACAAAACTTGACCGAAGGAAAATGAGTACAACCACTCCAGTCTTTTCTCATCATCATGAGGAATCATATCAATTATTCAGTAGTCCTCATTATACCATGAATATGCTTCGTTAAAACCTTATTAGGAAAAACCCAGTGGGACAAAATCCTAATGAAGGAAAAAGAGTACACTATTCATGTGAATACGCCATCCCTGTTGCCTCATTAAAAACCTTGTTAGGAAAACCCAATGGGACAAAACCTCAGCCAAGGGAAAAAGAGTACAACGCGTATTCCATATATTCATCATAATAACATTTCCATAATTTTCAGGAATATCATATAGATTCATTCTGATTTTCAGAAACTGATGGTTATTCACGATAATGTGCCATATCATGTTTTGTGCAATTTTCAAACTCATTCTCATCATCAATTGATTTCAATGGTCTTACTGCCAATAATTTCCAATATTCACATTTCAGTTGATTTCATTCTCGTCAATATCATTTATATAGCGCTATTCATTTGTTTGTGTCGACACATATTCATTTCTATTATTCCCCGTAATATATTGAGATATCTCATTATCAATTAATTTCATCGATAGTATATATATGCCTCCTTTCATCACTTATTTGGCGAATTTCAATTTGCACAATACCAACGCTTCCAGCGTATCTTTCCACCATCATATCATTTCATATATTTAACCACCATCAGTATCAATCAGTTTATGATTTGCACACTTTCAGTGTGATGCATAAATCATTTTTAAAATTTCAATAATTGATTCTCCCCCTCATCTTAACAGATCTAATTTGTATTTTCAGTTTTGAGTTTCTTGAGGGGTGTTGACGAGCGTTTTCGGTCAACGGTTATAAATAAAGAATATTGAAAGCAGGACTGAAAAAGGGGAGAATGCTCCGATTTGATTATGATTTTATTAGACGATCACGAGGTCGGCCTCTCGTACGAGGTCGGCACTTGCGATATACTTACAATTCTTACAGTGAGTTTCTTACAATTCT